TCTTACCCTCCGAGCAGAGAACGAGATCAGTTGCCATATAATGTTGTGTTCACACCGGGCGCAAATTAAGCAATTCACAGGCATGTATAACATGTATGAAATGTAAAGATACGAGAAGACGAGAAATCCCGATGACGTGATGCACGCAACGCGAATGACGCAAATTAAGTGGTGAGAATGAAGCGAGTAGCATGAGTCACATCATATGCTTATTTGTAAGAACTGAAAAATCTAGTTGCACTAGCCAATCAGCATTGAGATCCTCCAGGGACGTATGACTCAGACGACGTACCGGCGAAAGTTAATTCATCGAGTCAACACAAAATATTCTAGCGTTCAAACTTGCGCGAGTAACGCAACATGACAATTTGCATCGTGTTTGGTGTGGACATATCAGAACAGGGATTGTAAATTATTGTTATTGCCATGTTAATGTCATTGTTATTGTTTATAAAGCGCTGCTGATGCATATGTTATATGTCACACTAGAGGCCGCTGTTGTGTTACATGTCGTGCCCATCGCGCCTCTTTTGCTTCTGTGATGCTGGCATGCTGGAAAGCATCACTGGGAAGAGGGACGTCTGGGGTGCTTTGCTTGGCCTGCTGGCCCCGTGACCCGGCCCCGATAAGCGGATGAAAATGGATAGATGGAGAGATGGACTGACTGACCTTGAGGAATCGACTTGTGGCTCTGCTTCAAATGTGCGAGAGCCCGACAACAACGCCAAAAATTTCTGACATGCCAGAAATTCATCCCAATGGCCCATCGGGAGCAGTTTATCGCACCATGATCTGTCCTCGCTCCAACGCCTGACATAGCTAAAATTTGGTCCATGCAGCCAAACAATCAGGTCAGAAACAGACTCGAATCATACAGCGTATGCCCAGTTTCATTATGCTTGCCACTCAAGCAGGAGCCTTTCTACGCAAAAAGACTATTCAACCCCAACCCTGGTGTATCCGATCTGTGTATACAAGTAGGTATCTCTGTCCTGGCAGTTGCATTTTGGTTTATTGTTGGTGTTGTTTCCTTGCAACAAATTGTGATTTGACTATCAAAACATATCCCTCCACCCCCTGCTCTGCAAGGAATACCGTTCATGGAAACACAAGGATGGAAATTCATATTAGAAGTTCTATAACTTTAAAATATACCCACTTGGTTTGTCGAACTCAGACCACTGAAGCTTCACATTTGCTCTGGCTGAACTTTGAAATGAATTTTTGCACTTTGGATTTGGTTGGAGGAGTTATGATTCAAGTGACCAATAACTCTTTCAATGCACTTATGGGCATGCAAGTATTGTATTAGAGCAGAATCTGAAGCTAACCTTTAGGAAAGAAAGAAAGGATGGTCAGATGGTTGAATCAGGGGGAGGGGAGAGGGCAAAAATCTTTGCAGGAGGAAAAGATAGAGAGGGAGGGAGGAGCTGACACCTTGACGGATTGATTGAGATCGCCCAATACACGCTGTTGCCTACAGCCTAGATTAGCAAGAGGTCTGGGTCAGCACAATCTCAGTATGTTAGGTAACTCTCCTGCCTCGCAGCTGCTTGATACTTGATACTGCACCTCAGCGACGCAATATTTTACTGGATATCTCTGAAACTCACATCTTCAGATTTGAGAACCTCGCTTATATGTCTATGCGTGCATGATAGAAAGAGACAGACTGTGGGGCCCAGTATCCATGGTAACCCCAGCCAGGTGCACTGGTTCATATGCGATTCAGGTAATTCAATCTACAATGAAAAGCATGCATATAAGGTCAGTGGTATTCAAATGCGATGCATGTTTTCCCCCTCCGTATTCATATGCAGCCTCTCTCTGGACGGTGGCCTCTTGCACACCCCCATGAGCTGATATCTCTCATAATGCTCTGCTTGAGTGGCAGGTATGATATTTCCACTCGGTTTGATTGAGGACTGCATTTAAAATCCGTCGGTGATGTTGACAGAATATATCAGGCATGTTATTAATACACTCAATATTGCAGTGCCGTGCGGGGAAGACACCCTGACGCCGAGGTGTGCTTGTTACATACAGCGCCTCGGAACATGATTTGGACAGGGTCATGATTTTTCATGTGCATGTATGATTAAAAACACACACAAGGAAAGAGCAATGACAGACAAACAGGAAGAGATGAAAACAGAGAGACTCAAAAAACTGGGGGAAATAGAAAGTGTCATAGGGCTTGCTGTCGATGGGGTTTTGGAGGCTTGTGTTAAGCCAGGGGCTTTGACAGCTGGGTTTAAGGGGAAAGGAGAGGGCTATGGATTGGAGTCAGGTCTCTACTTCATATTCTGAAGATTAAACCCCTATCCTCTTCCTCCTACACCATTTTGGACGTCTGTGGCATCATTTTTTGCTGTTTGTGGGTGTTTCAGCAGCGATTTACAGCCAGGGTCGTTTGCTGCAGTCAGAGCGCTCTGGTAAAAACCTCACAATCAGATATTCTGTGCCAGAACTCCCCGGCATTAGCTAGTCAGAATCCGAAATTTGCTTTAATCATCAGGCACGCTGACCATGTTGATACACACACAGAAAATGTGATGGTGATGTGATAAAGAAGTGAATAATACAAGCGCAGGCCCGATTGTGTTTGTGCACTCATGTGTTTTCAACAGCGCATGTGAGAGGCTTTGGGTTTCAGTGGCAGGGAGAAGCAAAATTAAAATGTATTTATTCAAAATTTAGAGCTGAGAGGATTAGTCAATCCAAAGAACATTAATTGCCAAGCATTTTAATAATTGTATGGCAATAAAAAAATTGTTTTTCAATCATAAATGCCAAAAATTGCCTGGTTCCAGCTCCTGAAATATGAATATACGCTAGTTTCTTAGTCTTTTTCTTTAATAAACGTGGCAGATTTCACTTTAGAATATGATGTAAAGAGCTTATCACACCATTGTATTAATCAGAATCCTGGCAATACTCAAACTATTATGTAAGCTTGATAGAAATTTGTCTTGGGTATGGGAATGGGTGTCTACACTTTGTTTCTCTGTATGCAAACAGAACAGTGGCCAGCAGCTTGCATTGCAAAGTGCACATTCAGTGATAACTAATGAAACCTATACTCATGTAGGAATGCAGGCTAATTATGGTTTGCAAAGGCTATCCTTGCTGGTGGTCATTATTAAGGGAAGTCGGTGCCCAATCAAGTTACTGACATGCACACAGGAACAGATAAGAAGGCTTGTTTGTGATTAATATTTATTATATATGCTATATGAGTGTTTTAAATTATGAATATGTCTGTGCATGTTTCACTGTCAGTGCTTCACTTTGAATGGAAAAGTGCAAAATGTAAGTATTTTGCTGTCAGATACGATTCAGCCAATTTTTATGGTAGAGGACACAAGATTGGTTGGGTCCGTTTGCAGCACTGGTTTAGTCAATCACTCGATAGGTGAAGATGGGTATGTGTGTGTGTGTGTGTATTAAGAGGCCTCCGAAATGACCTCGCACATAGAGATGATGGTCATAAATTGGTCTGAAGTCTCATTTTCCCTGCAGGATTTTGACCAGCTGCCACAGCTTAGAACCCATTTCACCCCTGCAGCACCAGTCCACACACGCCGAGTGACAGAGTTAATGAGTACATTTTATGACCGGATTCGACGACCAAGGAGAGGCAAATGTAATGTGGATCACGAGGGCTGTAAATAGTACATAATAACTAATACAGGTCTGGAGCCCACTGGTTTCTCATTAAAATCACAATGTGGCTTGGTGGAACAAAGTGAGTGTCACAGTTAAGACCAGTCAAATTCACAGATAACTGATCATATCACGCTGGGATGAAAGAGCTGTGCCAAAACATAGCATAATTGGGAAGTGTCAGTGCTGGCTGTCATGGTGGAAAAGAAATAAAGAAGGATTTTGCTGCCACCATGTGGATAATAGGGGCAATGCGGGCCATAAATTTCAAAACCATCTCAATAATGTGTCTGATATTTACTGGGAGTTAGTGGCAAGACGTGTTGAAGTCACTATTTAAGAGCGGTTGTGATGATTGGCTGTTGATTTTGCATATATGAAATGTCCCACAGCACCTGAACTCACCCTAAATCAAACTAAGATTGATAATAAACCGAACCATTAATGAACCATGACTCATGAAAATATAGCTGTAAGAATGACATAAAAGATCATGACATGGGAAACACTGCCATAACAAAAAGAAAAAGCATAAAATAATTAAAATTGTAGGTAAGTAATTTCATATTAAATGTGATGTGTGGGCTAGATGTTCAAAAATCAATATTAATTTGATTGTCTTATTTGTCAGACATCATAAAAATTGTGACCTACACTTGATTACAAATGTGAAGATAAATGTGTTGTTATGTAATTTGTATGGAGATAGATTTTTCAGTGTTATTTGTGTGAACCCATCAACAACCCATGTGTTAATCTGTATTCTATAAATATAGAACACTTTCCAAAAATAAAAAATAAATAAATTATTTTTTTTTGAAATCGCAAATTCCGAAAAACTGTTTTGCATGTATAAAATGGATCTGCAGATACACAAATTCCAAAAATAAAAAAAGACTTATTATTAATGATAGGAAGAGATTCACAAACGGTTTTTTTTATTTATTTGTAAATTAATTGAATGTGTTCACAGATTTTGTTGTGTGGAATTTGTTTTATATTATATCTTATATTTGTTTTTTTTTTTAGTTTTCAATTATTTTGTATTTGTGGAAAGAGTACAATTAACCCACGGATTGTCGATCTGTTCACACAAAAAATATTAACACAAGATAGATAGATAGATAGATAGATAGATAGATAGATAGATAAATAGATAGATAGATAGATAGTTTTTTTAAGACTTATTATTGTTATACAACTTTGCGCATGCTCAGATAAGGTCGAGAAACTCAAGCGCTTTCCTCGGCTATCTCCGTAGTTTTCCATCGCTACCTCGGCAGCCTTCGTTTCTTTCCGGTACTCTCCGTGTTCACTCGAGTCCTGTCGATGAAGCTGATTTTCGCTGTCGTCGTCTCCCTCGTCCTCCTCTCCGTGTTGTTGTTCTCGGTGACGCGACGGAGGTGTAGCCTGACGCGGTCTCTTACGTGTCGGTCTGAATAAAAGTGGAGCTCCGTAGACCCGGGAGTGACGAAGCGAGTCTGTGTTGGTAAGAGGATACGCATCCGATGTTTGCTAAACAGATAGATGGCTGCCCAGAGAAGTTATTTGCGGCTAATATCCGCACAAAGCCAACAAAGAGATCATGGCGGCGGTGTTGCAGAGGCTCTCAAAATGAGTCAGTCTCTGCAAGGCTCGCTGGCTCGCAACACAACTGAGACATAGGTATTAATATGGGAGTGGGCTTGAAAGTGTTTTTTCTTTTAATAAACAGCGTAGAATTAAGTTACAGAAGCAATTGTTCATGTAAAGTTAATTCATGTTAACACTATTAAAGAAACGTAAAAATTAAGCCAACAGACTCGTTAGTGAAAGTGGGGTGCCCTAGTTGCAAACATAACTGGCATAGAATGCATGCAGACATTTCCCTCCATTCAGGCTCGCAGCTAGCAGCCTAACGTTATAGACTGTAAATGCGTTATTAGTTTGGCAACAGTGGACATTTGTAGCAATGCGACATGCTGCGACACTAGCTGTTAAAACAGAAAACAACCCCGTTGTAATAGAGCCTTGGTGAATGTTAAAGAAATAGCGGCTAAGTGTGCTAACATTTATTGCATTCCTATTAGCCAGCTTGTTAGCATGCTAACAGAATCAATGAAGCTCATACTGCTCGAGCTAGCTAGCTACATGCTAACTGCAAGCGGGTAGCAGAGCTCCTTGGGTTAGCTTTAGCCTAACGTTACAGCGTTTATGAGTCCAGTTAAATGTTTCAGCTTGTTTTAAATTAGTACGTTAACGTTATTCTGTTGAGTCTTATATGTCACAAGTGCGACATGCTTTTAAATAACTGGTTATCAAAAACGGTTTCTGTACGGAGTCACGTTTACGATGTTTTACAAATGAATTGTGGGCTAGCATGTTTAGCTAAGCCACACCCTCCTATAAAACATCAACAACCACTACCTCCACAGTGTTTGCTGCACGCAACAGACCACTTTTTCAATGTTTGTACTGCACGGGTTTGTTTTAAGCATGATGATACACATGCAAATAAGGTGTTTCTTACTTTTTGAAGATTTTAAATGAAAATGGAGGCTGGTGCAGACACACAGCAAAGTGGTGAAACAGCTGTCTCGGAGTCTGAGGTCCAGCAGATCACCCTGGGTCAGGTAAATGTCATCATCACCTTGAATATACATGTTAGGTGCATAAGCACTCCTTGAAAATATGAGTACAGGCTACATGCTGGAAGAGATGTTTGGTCAGATTGTAGAGCCCCTGAGGCAAATGTGTGACATTAGCATTTATAAATAAAAGTGACTTGACAAGAGTAATTGCTACTGCTGACAATGGCTCATGACTTTACCTAAAGACAGTGTATGATTGTGGGTTGTCATGGTTGCAGGCGTCCATAGCAGCTGGCCAGGTGACGTCCAGTAGTCCCACAGTCACTCTCGTGCAGTTACCCAATGGTCAGACAGTCCAAGTGCACGGGGTGATCCAAGCTGCTCAGCCCTCTGTCATCCAGTCCCCACAGGTCCAGACTGTACAGGTGAGAGCACATAAAGCCTTTTTTTGGTTTATTGCCCAAATAATAATCACTGAGCATTTGAATTTATAAATTGAAATGATCAAAATTAATAATTGTCATCACATGACGGCACAATAACTTCCAAAAACACTGATAGTAGCAGTGCAGTTCTGTTGTCTTGCTTGGTAGATAATATCCTTCACATATGAATCCACCGTTATGGCTGCATATTTGTTGAAATGAAAGTAAAATTGTTTTTGTTCACTTGCAGATTTCAACTGTTGCTGAGAGCGAGGACTCTCAGGAGTCCGTAGACAGCGTGACAGATTGCCAGAAGAGGAGAGAGATTCTGTCCAGACGACCTTCCTATAGGTCTGTGTAACATCATACCACAAATGCATATCACTGTGGTTTTATTGGTCTGCATCACATGCTATTGGAGGAGCTATTGTAAAATGATGACAGGTGTTTTTAAAATAAAGAAAAGCTTGCTGAGATTCCTCTGTGATTGTTCCCCTGCAGGAAGATTCTGAACGATTTATCGTCAGACGCTCCAGCAGTGCCTCGAATTGAGGAGGAGAAGTCAGAGGACGACTCGGCCCCTGCCATCACCACAGTCACCATGCCCACTCCCATCTATCAGACCAGCAGTGGCCAGTACAGTAAGTACTTTTGGATACTGTCATACAAGACGCTGGTGGTTGGTGTGGTGAAACATGCAGGATATCCTGCTGTCAGACGGTGTCATTTTGTCTGTACTGAGGCCAACTGAGTTTAGAGGCAGCTGAAAACAAAGTCTTGATAATCAGATGTGGTATAATGCTGAGCCAATACTTAATTTCCTTGGCTTTTTTCACACCAAGCAACATTTGCTATCTGATAACATCCCTCTTCCGATGGCGCTGAAGTAAATACCGGTTGTCCATTAGTGTTTTTCTTGTCGTAAAATGAGGACCCTGTAACTTTTGTTACACAGAGAATATGACCACAATACTGATAAGCTGAATATCTTGCAAAACAATCTCATTGCTGCTGGTAAAATATGTAGATCACTTCCTGTTTTTGAAGCATTTGAATAATTGTTGTAGTTTGAAGACTGAACAAAATTTGATAGAGGCAGCTGCCTCATGAGTCTCCATGCTGGAAAAACCCTGGTCCTTGTTTGTATGGAGCTTTTTGTGTATCAGATAATGAGGGAGAGTTGATGTTGGAGAAATATTTATGTCGACAGGATACAGAAGGATTTACCACATAAAGACAGTATAACAAATGGAAAATAAGCTGGGAGTTGCTGCAGTTAACAGTGTTTAAGATGTATAATAAAGTGTTTCCTTGCTTTCTATGTCTTATGTTCATTTAATTCGATCACATGACAATGTCTCTCTGTCCGCAGTTGCAATCACCCAGGGCGGGGCCATCCAGCTGGCCAATAACGGCACGGACGGAGTGCAGGGCCTGCAGACGCTGACCATGGCCAACGCCGCTGCCGCCCAGCCCGGCGCCACCATCCTGCAGTACGCCCAGACCAGCGACGGGCAGCAGATCCTAGTACCCAGCAATCAAGTGGTTGTACAAGGTGTGGAACTATTCCCACATTTTGATCTGCTTAGGCATACTGAAGGTGGATGAAAGAGCTTTGCAATGCAGTTATAACACAAAACTTTACCAATCAGAAAATGTTCGTCAAAGTGTGTCATGTGAATTTGAAATTCTGTATCTCATAAGTAAAAACACTGTGTTTGTCTGTTTTTGTCTGTCAGCTGCCTCTGGTGATGTCCAGGCCTATCAGATCCGCACTGCCCCCACCAGCGCTATCACTCCCGGAGTGGTCATGGCGACATCGCCTGCACTGGGCACAGGAGGAGGCACTGAGGAGGTCACACGCAAAAGGGAGGTCCGACTTATGAAAAACAGGTATGGGTATTATGAGACTGACTACTGGTGTATCTTTCGAGTTAATGCTGTTGTGTTGCTGGAAGACGTACTCACACACGACCATTACGTCACACAGGGAGGCAGCCCGCGAGTGTCGCAGGAAGAAGAAGGAGTACGTCAAGTGTCTGGAGAACCGCGTGGCCGTACTGGAGAACCAGAACAAAACCCTCATCGAGGAACTCAAAGCCCTTAAAGACTTATACTGCCACAAATCAGAGTAGAAACGTCACCGAACACCTGCCAGGGGCTCGACAGGTGCCCGTCTGTCCCCATGTACAGAGACTCAGCACAGAGCCATGCATCTGGATGCCACTCCCCCCTTTTCTACTCTTCTGCTTTCTTTTTAAAAACTGCTGGAAAAAATCCTTAAAGTGACTCACCAGGAATCGAAAACAAAAACACACACACCCTCCCACTTCAGCGATTTGAATTCTGTTCCCATCAGTTTCCCATCAAAGGATGAAGCGACGTTCAGAGTGAATGTGGAGGAGTACACACCGATACAGGGTCATGATGGTGAAGTGACAGAACAGATAACAAGGCTGTTCTTTTTTGTTTTTGACGCCACCAAAGGGAAGCATTCCAGTCACTGGTGCCTGGACAAACTGGGCAACATCACCAGCAACGGGGAACTGCTCAATTGCCACCACCAACGACAGAACTTTATACCAGTTGGATCTCCCTGGGACACTCGAAACATTGGAGAGGTTACCCTTGTGTGCAACGTTTGTTACTGTAACTGCGCTCTCGCATTAACATCTGTTACTAATGCTTTGAACTGTAGATGGGCTGTCATGGACGTTTTATCTTTTAGCTGTTTTGTTTTATTATGTATTGGATTATCTGCTTGCATAATGCCATTGACTTTTTTTTTTTTTTTTTTACTTTGCCTTGATACGACATGAACAAAAAAAGCAAAGCATTATGTTGGATTGTACAATGGTTTTCATGTTAAACGCAGCTTTAAAGATACATGACGAAAAGTCGGAATCTCTCACGTGGAACATTTACAGAACTCCTTAAGTGTTTCGTTGCTGTCGGATGCATGTTCCTGATTATATTACCAAGGCTCATTGTTTTTGGTTTCTTACAATGTTCAAACAAATATCCAGACGTTTAAAAGGTACGGACTAGTTTGGACAGATTTCAACTGGTTTTGCTCCTGCTGCTCACCTGAAAATAAGATTGAACACAAATCAAATGCAGCTGGCGCATCAGTTTTGATTTCCACTCATGTTTTTGCATCATGGATTTTTCAGTCCTTGTTTTTTTTTAATTCCTTAATCAACAAAAATAATGAGCCTTACTTGTTTTGTATTTAAAGAAACACTTTGCCGCCACATTTCTTAACAAATCTGGAGACACACGGCCGCGCACTGGAATCAGAAATTGCTTATAGATGGTCTTTGAACACGTTACGTCGCCACATTTTAGTTTAAATTATGTACAATTTGAAGAGCAGTTCAAGTTCTGGTTATAGGATTACAAAGTGGCATGTGCACTTTCTCTGCATACAACAATCCTACTGTATCTCACAATTTAACAGAAAAATCTCACGCACCACCGACAGATAAAGCTGTTGCGAGGTGCCTCTAAGATTAACAGTGTCCCTTTCGTTTCGTATTAATAATCAAGGCATCATCATGCACTTGAGGTTAATTGTGAGGAGCGTTAAATCTCACCATCTTGATTGCACCTATCAGACACGTGCGACCAAAATCAAAAAGACTTCACCGTGAACAAAAATGGATGTTTTCATATTAATGGAATGCCATGTTGTATTATTTTAGGTGTTATGTATAGTTATGACATAGTCTGCTTTTTTTTTTGTTGCTTTTCATTAATTTTGTATTCACAATTTCTAAACGTCAGCACCAACTTGTATAATACAGTGCATTATGTTAGAGCTATTCAAATATTACATTTTTGGCAGCTGTTAATAAATGTGTTTCTGGTAATCTTTGACATTTTATTTGATTCTTATGCAAAAAGATGTGAATTATTACAAAGATGGAGGCAGTCAGTGATAGAAAAATAGCCAGTTAGGACACTCAGTTGTCATAGATCGTTCTTAGGTGGCAGTTTCCAGGATTTATATACATGGATGTCCCTTTGTTTGTCATAGTAGACCTCTTCAATGACAAAACGCTGCTTCATCATGCTCAAAAAGTCTGTGTCTCGCTTGTAGCGGATCTTACAGGCCAGTAACACCACAGTGGTGTCTGAGCACAAGTGCTCCAGAGTCTGCAGCAGTGGCACAAAGGTGTTCTCCAGGTAAACAATGTCTGCTCCCAGCACCAGATCAAATCCCCCAGCTGGGTAACGGTCAAGTCCAACGCCCCAGGTCAGCTCGGACACAACCACTGATCCCTGGGAGTCCGGGGGCAGGTTTTCCTTTACGTTGGCGGAGAGGAAGTCCAGGGCAGGCGCTCTGTCAGTGATGGTCACTTTGGCACCTAGAGAGGTGAAGAATTTGACAGTGACTGATAAAGGCCAGTATCATATGGAAGTAAATAGGAGACGCGAGAACTGAAATTTGAATTTCAATATTCAAACACAGCATAGCATTTAAATGTTTTACACTGAAAACCATGCATCTGAGTTTATTTGTTCTGAATTCACCGCTATAAAAATTAAATTATAAAAACTTCTTATATGCAAATGTAAAAGCTGAGTTTGAATTTATTTGTTCTGAATTCACCTGTTTAAAAATTGAATTAGAAATTTTTTTGATTTGCAATTTTAAAGCGCAATTTGAATTTTTTCTAAATTCACCTCTTTAAAAATTAAACTATGAAATTCCTTGATTTGCAATATTAAAAGCTGAATTTGACTTTATGTGTTCTGAATTCTGAATTAAACTACAAAATTTCTTGATTTTTCAATTTTAAAAGCTGGTTTGAATTTGTTTCGAATTCACCTCTTTAAAATTTAAGTTACAAAATTTTTGATTTGCAATTTTTAAAGCTGAATTTAAATTTATTTGTTCTGAATTAACTTCTTTAAAAATTAAACCACGAAATTTCTTAATTTGCAATTTTAAAAGCTAAATTTGAATTTATGTTTTCAATAATTGCAAATTCAAATCCAAAAGTCAAGTTTCAGAATTTTAATAAATAGATTTAGGTTGCTCAAATTTGATTGGTAAAATTCAAATCCAAAATTTCAAGTTGAAAATTTTCAAATAGCAACACTGGGCCAACCAGCCTGTCCTGTCCTGGTTAGTCTGGATGTTCCTATTTGAAAATTTGAAATTTGAATTTTTTTTTTTTTAATAGAAATTTGACCAACTGAAGTTGAGCAACCTAATTTTTTTTTTTTAAAAAACTTGACTTTTTGGATCTTAATTTGTGAATACTGAAATTGTATGTTTTATAATAATTTATTATTATAATCATAGAATTATATAATTTTATATACAGAAATGTTATATCCTAATTTCTAAGAAGTGAACAGGATTTCAAAGTAAAATATGTCAGTGCTATAAATTCAGTATTGTTTAATATTTTTTTAAATGCAGCATCCAGCGGCCGTTAAAAGTTAACTACCTATGTCTCTTTCTAGCTTCCGTAGATTCAGATTTATGTGTATGACCAGAGATACATGACTCATAACTGGATGGTGAACTCACCCAGCAGAGCTGCCACAATGCCCACCAGTCCAGTCCCAGCTCCCAGTTCAATGGCTGCCTTCCCCTTTAACGTCACCTTCCCCATCTCCAGGTACATACACATGACAACTGCCTGGAAAACAATATGTATTTAATCAAGAGATGTCCAACAGGATTAAGATTAACACTGTATCAGGCTACTTACCGCATCCCACACAACTGCTGCTACCCCGAGCTTCCTCCAGTCCTGAGCGAGACGGAGGTCATGGTTGGCAAACCGGAACTGTGCTGTTGAGTTGTGGAGTTTGGAAAGCGCAGGTAACGGGTTTTCCACATAGGGAACAAGAGCCATGCTTTAAAAACAAGGAGAAACTGCACCACGTGGTCATATTTCACCAAGTAGCGCTACACGCATGCGCACTGCGGTCCTTCTTCTTTGCTGGTGGACTTACTGATTCGTTACCGCCATCATGTGGAGGTATCTCCGTCAATTTCAACTTATTTTAATTCCCTCCATCGTTTCCGCCAATATATCACAAACAATGTCTGCCTCGTTATTTCGGAGCTAGCGACTATGTACATTTATTCTGTCTTTAACACTGTAGCGTTAGCGAAACACAAATATATCCCTGTACTGTAAAATGCTACCAGCCCACTCTCAACACTCTTTCAGCCAATTATATAACAGCTCGGCTAAAAGTGACCAATGGGAAAGCCAGATTGTGTAATGGGCGTGCCCGCAAAGGTTTTTCTCAACGGCTGTGTTTTGCACATAATGGAGGGGGCGGTGCCTGCACGTGAAGCCCAGCAGGGCTGTAAAGCTAACAACACATAGCAGCGATACAGCTTCCGTTTCATCTGCGCTCCTGTTGGCAAAATAAAATCAGAGAGCCAGGCACAGAGGTCCATTTATTTATTTTATTTACAAGTTTATTTGACAGGGACTCATATAACAAACTTGATGTATATGTCTGTGTGTAATAATAAATATACTCGAAATCTCATGCATTATACAGATTTATAGACAGACAGCAAATATGTTAAGCATTAAAAAATTATTTTTCATACTACAAAAGCATTATATTATTTTTGTGTAGTCTCTCGGCCCCTAACATGAGGTTAAATTATAATATAAACTGTAAAACAGAAATAAATAAATCAATAAACAGATATTTACAGATAAATACAGGTATATCCGTTGCTGAATATGTGCATGTGCCTTGACCTTTTTTTTAATCCAACCGTTTTAGGACCAGTGCTGGACCTGGCACATTTGGCGCCGTCACCTTGCAACCTACAGGACTCAAAGGACCAACACCATAGGACACCTCCCAGAGGTCTTGTGTCCATGCCTCAACAGGCCAGAGCCAAGACCATGAAATAGTAGGCAGAATCTTTAATATGAAATGGAATCAAAGATATTACAGACACCAAAATTACGATAAAATACATATATATATATATATATATATATATATATATATGTATATATATAAATAAATAAAATAAATAGAGGTTATTATTATTAATATTATTAATGTGTTACCCTCCACACGGTGAGGACTTTTACTTTGAAAAGGCAGTAACCGGAAGTTACCTCTGAACTTAAGCTGCTTCGGTGGATTTGACATCCAAGACGTGTCTCCTGCAAATGCGACGAGATGAAAGCTAACGTTGGCTATCTTTTACAAATTCTCACACTCGCTACCTTTCCGCTTCCTTAGTTTATCCGTAGAGTAGTTTCCGGTTGGGGTATTTACACGTTAGTCCCGTAGAAAAGCCTTTAGTTGTGACAAAGACTCCAGCTGCAGTGAGAATGGATTGATCCATGCTGCTGAAAAAGCCAAGAATGGATTGAGGTGCGGAAGCTAGCGTTAGCCGGCTAGCCATGGAGGGAGCTAGAGGAGCTTGTGACTTTGTATTGTTAGCGTCTATTCCGTAAAATGACTTGACATTGGTCATTCACCGTCCAGAAGTATTCAGTCCATGCATGTAATTGTTGTAAGAGTGCACCAGTGCTATGCTGCGCACACGCCCTGAATATGTCAGCTGTCCCGCACATACTGCAGACACCTAGTTGGCTGTCATTACATAGAGCCCATTCTCCTCTGAAGCAGCCAGACACACAGGCAAGACTGGGCCCTAATATGCTACACTAAACATTTAAAGATTTAAATACAGGTTTAGATCCAGTTTCAGATTTACTGGTGTCACATTTATTATCTGTCACCTGTAAGATTTAGGTCAGGCTTAGTTGCAGCCCCCCTGCAGCCCAGTGTTGTCAGTTAGACTAGTAGGTGATCCCTCCTGTGTTGTATGGGAAACAGTGCTGGCTGTAGCAGGACTGTTGTAGGTCAACGATGGGAGGTTCAGTGTCTTGCTGCATCTCTCCTGGAGAGAGTCCCAAGATCCACAGGAGAGAAGTGGAGCTGGAGGAGTGTCCCATCACCACCACTGAGGATGTGAGTGAAGACACCGGGACCTACCTGCAGCACATCAGTGACAGGGAGCTCCCAGATGGTGCGTGATGATTCATTTGACTCAGACTTTTCAATATGTAGTCTTTTAATGCAGTGCTGTAAAAATGCTTTCCCCTCGCACTTTCCTACTTGTTTATTACAGAACTGGCTCAAGAGGCCAACCCATCGGACCACCCCAGAGCCAGTACACTCTTCCTCAACAAGTCGCAAACAGATGGTCAGTATTTCTCTGTTAAAGATGTCATCATTTAATAAATGTTTATATCATTCACAGAGTTTTCTCTCCTCATTTTAGTGCGCGAGAAGAGAAAAAGCAACTACTTGAATCATGTAAGTGACATGTCTACATGATTTTACAGTTGGTGAGGGGAGAAAGATACACATACAAACAACAAATTGGTCAAGCATGTCATAAAGAGAAAGAGCAGCCAGAAGTTATTAATAGCTAACAAAAACATTGTGCAATAGTCCACCTTCCACAGTCTCTTCTCTGTTTATCCCTCCATGTCTCTCTGTCTCTCCTGCTCAGGGCATCCGCTATCTGTTTCTGAACGGGAAAATCTGTTGAAGTCCGACATAGTTAACTCTCCAGTCATAATGTCTGATAAAAACATTTCCCTTTGAGAACATGTAGGCCGAGTCTTAACAGCAAGCGTCTCTTTCCCCACTGAATGCCTTAATTATGCAGTTCTTCTGCAACATGTAAACAAACTAGCTGTGCGCTCATGTAAGCAAACCACATAGGATATTAGCTGCAGGCTCAAGATCATTGTATGGCTGGGCGATATAACGAATATGTACAATATATCGATATATTTTAAGCAAGATATATATTTAGATAATACCGTTTATATCGATATAGAAAGTGTGTGACATTGAGACTTAAACAAGACGTATATAATGCAGACAAAGTGTCTCTCGCTAACTTCCCTCAGCCTCTTAAAGATTTTTAATTGTTTCAAACCTACTTGATGCTTTTATACTCACGTTATAGATTTGTGTCCTTTGCTGCAAACCTTAAAAGCTCTGTAGCTCCATTGCTGTGTGCAAATACGTTAACATACAGCCCTGCTGTTTATTTTATATCATTTTTCATTTACATGTTGTGCAGCTGAATATTTTCAAACATTTGCATTTTTATTTTTATACACTCTGTTTTTATAAAAGTGCTTGCGACATCTTGTGGCTTTGACTTGTAACTGAACACGTAGTCCATTTCGTAGAGAATACAAAGACATATGTTGTGTATTGCCACTCAGCCAGTCAGCCACAGAGATTTGTCTCTTTAGCCCAGCCCTAGATCAGAGCTACTCAAGACGAAACCATTAAAAGATGAGTGTGTACTTGGCTTCCTGCATTTGTAGTTTTTTTAAACAAAAAACATACGTTTTCTAGTGTGACGTTTACTGAAAAGGAAGTAGGTTGTTATAAGCGATGGTCATCACCAGAAACTTTCAGCTCCACTTTGCGGGTTTGCAGGTCGAATTTGGGTGATAAATTAGCGCGTAAGTTTGTGGGTTGAGCGGGTTGGATTGGCTCTCATTACGGGCTGGGGTGGTACGGGTTTTATAAACCCCTGACCTGTGCATCACTGCTGCACGGTGAGCAAAGAATTCCCGGAAAAAGCCAACATTCGTGTTAAATTTTAGAATTTGTACATGGATGTTTTGTCATAGTTTTACTGTTTTTTGACTTCACTGTTGTCTCTTCTATAGCAGATGTCCCCAGGGCTCCTGACAAAAAAGTACAGTTCCTGCTCGACAATATTCATCGATGACAGCACGGTCAGCCAACCCAACCTCAAGAGCACGATCAAATGGTGAGCGACTTTACCTCTGTCTTCGAAATACCCTCACAGGAATAGTTTTGGTATTTTAGTGTGCTTGTTTCCTTTTAGCAGGTCATATGACGAGGGAAGAGATAAGGCATTGTCCTTCACTATTTAAAACATTTTCATTTAACCCTGTCTGCTGCAAGCTAACAAGCTAATCTGTGGTTAGCACTGTCCTATGGTTTCAGATAGGAGTGTTAAACCAAATATGCGATTTTTCTGAACTGCAGACGTGAGCTACATATCAAAGGAAGACGTGATATGTAAAAGGCATCATAGGAGCTCTTGTTTGGTGCAAAAGAATAAAATTACATCCAGTAGTTCACTGTTTGTGTCGGTCTCTTTTTGTTCCAGCGTCGCATTGGCCATATACTATCACATAAAAAACAGGTAGGAAAAATTTTACTTACCTTTTACTTTTTCAATCTTGTCCAGAACTTGGGTATTTGTTTAGGAAACAGATGATAATGGAATGGGATTTTTTGGGGGGTTTATTAAACTCTGTTGTCATGATAAAGTTCTTGGTGGTGGCCAGTCATCAGTCAGATGGTCAGATAGATAGATAGATAGATAGATAGATAGATAGATAGGTAGATAGATCCTAAGCCAGTAGTTAGTCAGTTAGTTTTGAGCCTTTATTGGCATCCTGGCCTCCACCTGGTTGAATAAGACGAGATGGGAAGAGAGGATGAAGGACTGTGGGTAGGGATAAGCAGAGGGAAGAAAAGGGTTCGGATTGGGTAGGAAGGATAATGGACGAAGGGAAGGGAAAGGGACGGTGGGTTGAGAACGCGGAGCGAAACAGAGCAGGATGGGTTGACCAGGTATAAGTAGGCTTGGCAGGTAATCAGAGGTGTGGTTGAGGCATGGCCCTTAACAAGCTCACTTCATGATTATAAAGTGTTACTGAAACTGTAAGTGGCAAGAGGTCATGAATCCATTTGCAAATCGGTGCTTGTTTAGGTTGTAGTGTTCATCTTAGAACTGAAAATTCCATTTAGTTGTTATCATGCGATACAATGGGAGAATAAGTCATATAGTGTGCACGCTTAACATCATCTCGTTGATGTTTTGCTCCTGTAGAGATTCAAACCGCTCTCTGGATATATTCGATGAGAAGAAGCACCCTCTGTCGGTGAGTTGATACGTTTGAGCAATGTATACTGTTCATTCTGCAGCGATTGATCAGTGATGATGACCTTCTGCCCAACAGCGAGAAAAGGTCCCAGATGACTACTCTGTGATCGACCCGGAACATAAACTAATCTACCGCTTCATACGAACGCTCTTTAGCTCTGCGCAGCTCACTGCTGAGTGTGCCATCGTCACTCTGGTAAGTTTACAAAATTCAGACCTTCTAATCTCAATCACCATTACGTGTGTATATATATTGTGTGTAAATGGATTTGCTATGTGCTGTGTTAGGTATACCTGGAAAGGCTGTTGACGTACGCCGAGATGGACATCTGTCCTTGTAACTGGAAGAGAATTGTTCTCGGTGCCATCCTGCTGGCCTCCAAGGTCTGGGACGACCAGGCTGTGTGGAATGTCGACTACTGCCAGATCCTCAAAGATATCACAGTGGAGGACATGTAGGTGTTACTTGTTAATTAATGTGAGAAAACCAACTGACTAACATGTTACAGCCCAATGTTGTAACTAAGCTTGAGAAGACGGATTTGTTTTCATTGCTCTGTGCTGGCGGAGGCATTATGTTTTCAGGTTGTCTGTCTGTCCATGCCATTCTCATGAACATGATATGTCAAGAACATCTTGAGGAAATTTCTTCAAAATTTGGCACAAACGTCCACTTGGACTCAACGATGTTACTTATTAACTTATTAGATTTTGGTAGTCAAAGGTCAAGGTCATTGTGACCTTGTGTCCCACTCATTCTTATGAATGCAATTTCTCAAAACTACCTGACGGGAATTTACTCTAATTTTGCACAAACGTTCACTTGGACTCAAGGATGAACTAATTAGGTCTTGATGGTCAAGGTCACTGTGACCTTACAAAACACGCCGTTGGCCATAACTCAAGAATTCATACGCTAATTACAACAAAATTCCACACAAATAGAATAATATTATGAAGTAATGACATATCCAAAAGGTTAAAGGTCAACTTCACTGTGACATCACAATGTTCTGCAAAAACACTTCTGGCCATTACTCAACGTCATATCTCAAGAACAGAAGGGGAGACATTTGGTCAGGTACTGAATTGGTGACATTTATCTTGGGTGCCCACTAGGGATGCACAATATATATTGGACCGATAAATTTTGGCAGAGAGTGGGACATTTTTATAATTATGCGTTATTCCAATAATTAAAATTATAGCCTGATCTTTGACCGCCTGACACAGCTTAGACGCAGCACTGAAGGACCGTCTCCAGAGTGTTAGCACGAGCTAATTAGCAGCAGCGGGTTACACCCACCACTAAGTTTTAAAAGACTGGACTCTGGTTTTAAACATATTAATAACTGCCTTACTTACCCTGAAATTATTGGTTATTGTATTGGTTATCGGCCATGAGAAGCTGGTAATTGTCGGTCCATATTGGTGCATCCCTAGTGCCTACCTTAAAACTGTGCTGATTGTGTAGATCTTCTGTGGGGTCGGGTTGTAGATGTGTGTGAAGCATCCATGTTTTAGAATTTGTAGCTTCTTTGCAGCAACAACCATACTTGAAGCATTGTCTACTTTCATTTCTACATATGAGTCTGGACACACACAGATGTACGCTGTAATTTGACTGGTTCATGAGGTGGTGATTCTAGTTTTATAATTGTTAAATTCTCTTACCTCCCATCTGCTTTATTCCATGTTCTGCAGGAATGAGATGGAGCGTCACTTCCTGGAGTTGCTCCAGTTCAACATCAACGTCCCTGCCAGCGTCTACGCCAAGTATTACTTTGACCTGCGCTCACTGGCCGATGACAACAACCTCAGTTTTCCTCTGGAGCCACTGAGCAACAAGCGTGCCCAAAAGCTGGAGGTAAGTATGTTCAAGGCTGCATTTGCACTGCAGGTGAATCATCTGGCATCTCTTCTTGTTTGGTTGTTGCAATAATTTTCTGCTTATTGTTTTGTCTGCAGGCCATCTCCAGGCTGTGTGAGGACAAGTACAAGGACCTGAGTAAATCGGCTATGAGGAGGTCTGTCAGTGTCGACAACCTGGTCGGCATCAAGCACTCCCAGGCTGTGCTGTCCTAAGTGGGCAACGGAGGCGGAGCAGGAAGCTACAGGATGTGATGCCACATTCAAAAGTTCATTCGACAAGAGACATTTCCAAAGTAGATAATATCAGTAACTGAAAAGTTTCATCACAAAATGTTAAATGTCGACTTTGGGCAGGAACAAAAGAGCAGAAGTTTACCATACAGTATCTCTAAAGTATAATGAATTCAGTCTCTGTGTTCATTACAAAGAACTTCAGCTATCTGCCTTCAAAGCATGATAATTTGATGAAATATTTTGCAGACTGTAACTTTTTTTTTTTAAATAATGGATGTGTAACTTTGGAAGGAATCAGCATGAAAATGCTTCCTGGAGTCACACAAACTGAGGACCTCATCTTCTGTATTTCACATCAGCAGATCTTTTGAGGAGCCATCTCTCCAGCTTCGGCACTCCTCTCTCCACCAGCCGTATCCCATCACTTTTATTCACATCATGAGACTGTCTTGAACTACCCTGTGGTGTAGTTCTGCACAGGGACAAAGAGTAGACTTTGTTTTGCTTACTATGTAGGCCCCTATAGCTGTGAAATGTACAAGACTTTATTTAATTCAAATAAATTTCAGTCGCTGTTTAAAGTTGAGGCTGCTTAGGTGGGACAATGTGTCATGGTGGTTTTTGTTTGCAGGAGTGAAAACTGTGGTGTTCCAAATCGTTGTTTCAAGGGTAACCTTGGTATTTTTCCAACCTGGCACCTATTTTCTCATGTTCTTGTGTCGAAGGGTGCTTTCACACCTGCCCTGTTTGGTTCGACAATTGATCTCAAGTTCGTTTGCCTCCTAAGTGTGGTTCGTTTTGGCAGGTGTGAGCACAACAATCACACTCAGGTGCGCACCAAAACAACCAGACCAAGACCTTCTTGAAGAGGTGGTCTCAGTCCGGTTGAAAAAGAAACTCTGATCAGGTTTATTTTTGGTGAGAACACGTTCCAACCTCCATCTGAACCAACTACAGTCGCATTGTTTGGGTTAAACAAGCATGAGCATGTTAGTCCCGGAGGATTATTAATGTGCACTTCCTGATGGGACTGTGTAAAGCACAGTGAACTGCTCCAGTAAGATCAGTTAGCAGCTCAAACACAGCTGCTTCTTTGCCTCTTCACAGTTAAAATGGACAAATTGTTGATTCCATAAGCAGTTCAGACACAGTGGTCTAATGATTACCTATTGTACAATTCCGCTGTTAAGTGCTTCGAGTATCCACCGTTTCCTAGCAGATATATTAACATATTGATCTCACCAACAACAATAGTACGGCCAGAATATTCGCATTTAAGAAACATTTTTATGGTCCGCAAATTATGTTTATGTTTTGAATTTGTGTTTTGGCCTGTTGCGCCACCCACCGCCGTCTACCAGTCACGCAGTCAGAGTAGAGTCTCAGCATCAGTTACAGTTATGACTGAGCTACAGCAGCACGGCAAGCAGCATTAGCAGTGTCCCAGTACATAGCATTAGCAGCCGGCTCCTCCTCAGCGTTAGCAGCAGAGAAGCCGGACTTGCTCGAACGGTCTGCTGGAAAACCGCAGATCAAGGACGCGGCCCTGCCACGGCAGCCGCCCGTGGGCAAACAAATCAGTCTCCAGCGTGCCACTGTCCAGCAATTTCGAATCTGTAGGGGAGGGGGGGCGGACACGACTCGCGGCAGTATTTTGAATTTGAGTGCAGTAACCATTTTGGCCACATTCTTACATACGGCGCCTTTAAATATTGAGTGAATGACATTTTTAATGTTTTAAAATTGTCAGTGTTTTACCATAAGTTCGATTCCAAAGGGAAATGAAATGACATGCAAAGGTATATCAGTACAGGATGAGCATTAAAATACTGTACATTTTCTGATTTAGATTCAGACAACTCATGGCAATTTGTTTGAACAGCTTGCCTTGTACACATAGCATAACATACAGTAACATGTAGAAACATAAATAAATGAGTAATGAAATAAAAAATATGCCAAGCAGTTCAGCGGAATAAAGGAATCTATACATAATAAACAGTTGATAGACTAATTATCATAAGAGATTAAAACATCATTAATAACAATAAAAACAATGATTTACAGATAATTTGAAAGAAGAATAGCAGAGGGAATATGTGAGGGAATATTTATGCAGTATGATTCTGACATGTTACATGCTGACTGAGTTAAGGACCAACTAACTAAAATAAAAACACAGGGCCTCATGCAGGAAGCGTTAAACAACACATTTTCTGTATTTTCTGTTCATATCCACGTTTGTTATATTTTGTCAGTCTCCACTGATTTCTTATTTTTGAAAATTTCACAATTTTACCAGGAAAAGAAAAAAAATCTTTATGTCACAGTCTACGAATTTTTATAAATTTATATAAGATAAATTTTATATTTCAGGAAGATTTTTCTTTTTATTTAAATAAATAAAAAAAAGAAATCATCAGGTACAAAGCTGATTAAACAACACCATTCGGGCAAATAAATAAACAAATAATAATACAAATAAAAGTGCAGACAAATAAACACTACCATTTAAACAAACTAACTAGCTAACAAACACAAACAAGACAAAACAGATACATAAATAAATAATAGTAATCAAAAGAAATCACCCAAAGGTCCATGTGTAGCAGGTCACCAGGGGGAGTTACTGTAGTGCTGGGCGAAAGATTGAACAACTGCATCACGACATATCTTAGCATTTCACAGTGCATCACGGCACTTATAGTATATAGTTTGAGCATTTTAAATTGAATAGTCCATTGAATGCATCACTTCTGGGGGCTCTCAGCATGACAGTACACTGTTTCATTCGGTACATCGTCCAGCACTAAATTACTATACAACTTTTATTTGAAATGCTCTATATGGCTTAATAAATTAAATCCATCCTTTCCAATGTTTTTTAAAATAAAGCTGTCTTTAGTCTCAGTTCAAAGGTTAATTTTTCCATAATAAAAATGTATGCATCACATTAAACAACATAGGAACACACAATTTGAGGTACTTTTACTTAAATTAATCTCATGCCACTTTCTGTCCAAGCTGAAATTGGGCCAGAGGCAGGGTACACCCTGGACAGGTCACCAGACTTTCACAGGGCTGACACATAGAGACAGACAACCATTCACACTCACATTCACACCTATGGACAATTTAGAGTCACCAATTAACCTGCATGTCTTTGGACTGTGGGAGGAAGTCGGAATACCCAGAGAAAACCCATGCTGGCATGGGGAGAGCAGAAACTCCACACAGAGGCTGGGGTTCGGGCCCCCAGCACTAACACCCTGGAAAATCACTTCTACTTTAAGCTTACTTAGAAATACCTTGATTTCAATACTGCCAATGTTTTTTACTTCTTAACACCTTTTTTTGGATGTTCTCTCCAATTCTTTGCACACAGCACAACACCTGCCCTTATATAGTGTTTAGGGGTTGTTACCTGTGCTAATGCATTACTTAGTTCAGGTGGGATTCATCATCCAGCACACCTAGGTAAGAGCAGCTTTGGATGGCTGACAATGTTCGGTGCATTTGGAGGTGACTTCTCTTTTTTTTTCCTTAACAAAAAATTGGAAAAAATAGGGAATGTTGCAGCACGAGGCCCATTGTCTACCAAATATCAACCGATGGTAATTTCTTTGTTTTCCTAAAGGCAGAATAGCGCATTGGTTTTACTGTAATTTACAGGTATTTGGAAGGAAAACAATATCATGCCTTCAATTAAACCCCACTTTTTTGGGGTCACCTGGGGCAAACAAGTTAATACAACACTGACAAATTATCAGCTTGTAAGCTTGTCATCAGCTGCTTACACATCCAGAACATTAGCATTTATTTGGAGTTGTATTTGTATCCACCTGATGAATATAAGCCCAATACTCCAACTCTTTTATCTGTGGTTTTAGTCTACCAACTCCCAAAGGAAATATCTGGCTCTTTATCTGCTTACTTCCCCATTGTACTGTATATGTTCACCAGCTGTTTCTGATGCTGTGCAGCTACCAAATGTCAGTAGTTGCCAGGTAACCCAATTGCCTACTTGAATAACTGGTTAGTCATAATATATATGGTGATTTATTTCTTTGATTGCACATTTCTTTTTCTTTAGTCAGTGGCTGAAATCTATAGATACATATA